AATATATACACACATAGAAATGTATAAATAAAGTTATATAATATAAAAAATGCAATACAAAACTTTGAAATTTGCTATTTATATATATATAAAAATTATTAACTATGTTTGGTTTTAGATTTGTAAGTGATCATTTGCATGAATACCTTTCATTATCTTCGAGAGTACGATGCTCATCGCTGCCTTGTGTCACCTCAGCCAATGATGATTCCAGAAGAGTTGCGTCGGCCGACTGTATGGTAGCAGCATTAGCAACTATACCAGAGATAGATTCTTGTTCGGGATCAGATTGATGAAATGTAATGTTTCCTTGCTGCAGTCCACTCACGACATTTTGACAACCAGTTGTAACTTGTGTAATTTGCACCGGGGCAGTACTATTAGATGTCTGCGGTTGTATCTGCTGAGTCGAAGATGCGATCACTTGAGATTGCACCGACGCTCCAGAGGGATGAATCGTCGACGAGGTTTGCTGCGTCGTCTGAGGAACTTTATGAATATTTTGCATGCCTTGCATCCCCTGTATGGCAGTTAGTGGCTCGGAAATTTGGGTCATCTGCGGGTTTTGCGTTTGCAAAGGTTGCTGACAGGAAGCTGCGTCCGATTGATGCTGCGTTACGAGAATATTCGGTGTCTGAGAGGTCGAGACTGAAGTTTGCTGCACCGGCTGACAAATATTCTGCACTGGTAAGGATTGATTTTGCGTGCTCACCGTCACATATGTTTCCTCATTTGAATGAGGAATGTTTTGCTGTGATGTCACTGTGCTATTACTAGTTTGAGTTATGATAGGAATAGAACCTTGGGGCATACTCTGAGGCTGCCCTAAATTGTTAGGATGAGTGGCTTGCAAATTGGAGGGTAACGTAGATCCTTGACCCCCTTGCGGAGGTTGCTGTTGCTGTTGCTGAGTGACTATCGGTTGAGTTTGAGATTGAAAATATTGCGGGATCTGTTGCGTAGGCGGCTGCTGCACTTTAGCTTGGGTTTGCGTAGGATTATGCTGTACATTGGGAGGTATTGAATTATTTACTGCATAATTTGCACTCGAAACCGATTGTGCAGGATTACTCGAAACAGCGATCGATGAATGCACTTTGTCCGGGTGAGACGATACCGGTCCATTAGTGTCAATATTAATTCCTTTATCGTCGGTCACTACGGATTGTTTCGCAGCGTCCGGGACAACAACTCCGCTATCGGTCACTCCATAAGATATGCACACCTCGTTTGGATCGGACACCTTGGGAGTACCGATAGCTGTCGGTTGATTGACAGACGTATGATCCAAGTAATCCATGCAGGTCCACCGTCCTCTCTTGAACGGCTCCGTACTTTCAATCTTGACCACTTTGAATCTCTCGTTCCTACCATGGGAGTGAACTTCTCGCAGATCAGAGTCCTGCTTAACATTACTCGACAGTAGATTGATTATGTTGTTGTCAGTGACAGATGTTATATCCAGAGTATTGATATTGCTATCGTTAACCGAATTACTGACGTTGCTACCCTCGGAGGGTACGATCGCCAGGCCGTATTGCGAGCTGGTGGGGATCACCGGTGCCGTGCTGAGGGCGGCGTGGCTCGTGTTGAAGAAGACGTCCTCCTTGGAGAACGTGTCCTCGGAGTAGCTCGGCGTCTCGATGTCGAGGTCGGTGATGCGCGAGTGCTCCACGGAATTGTCCTCCGTGTGCGACTCGTCCAGGTCGTCGTTGGAATCCTCGCCGGCGTCATTGCTCATGCGGCAGCCTACGGTGACGCTGGTGATCTGAAAGGACGACGTTTTCTTCCGATTGCACTGACTCCCGCCGATCGTTCCCGCTTGCACGTTGCCCGGGGCGATCAGGGTAACCTGCTGCTGATGCAGCCTGTCCACCTCACCCAGACGGATCGTCTCCGTGGTGGTGCGGTGAACCGGGTTCGATACCTTCCTGCTGCTACTACCATCCGACAGCTTGTGCGATTTTCTGTGCACATTATCTGCCATTATTATGGAAACTTAACATACGAGAGACACGATCGCTGCATCCGTCCTCTCGAAGCATGGTAGAACCGACATCATCTCGTTCAGTCTCTCATCACGATCTCTCCTCATAGGTATGTCTCTTCAATTGTTACCGAGATCTATGCTAGATCCGTGAGATGATTCTCTCGTTAATCCTCTCAATCGTTCGCAGCACCGCATGCTCCAACTCCCGTAGAAGACACGAGACGACGGCTCGAAGGCATACTCTCTGCTTTTGGGATGTTGACAGTTCGTTCTCTGTTACATTATATTAATTTTACGGGAAAGAAGCGTATTCGCTCCAACACCGTCCGTTCGTGAAAAATCGAGTCTTGGCTCGTCTACTGCGCGTTGACAAACGTCACCTATCCTCGTTTCTTTAACAATCGCAATCCCGTTCGAGCTCGAAATTCGCGTTCGAAATTACTATCTCGAGAGCAAAATATGTATGTTATCCATGTTCCCTTTTTATACATGTGTATCACGCGTTATATACTGTATAGGTAAGCGGGCAGTTTAAAAATGGCTTCCGCAAGATTTTGCGGTTTTGACGCTAGGAAAATTTCGAATCGTTTGATTGAGCGATCAAAAATGAAGCTATTTTCATTTGCTCTCGAGCGCAAAATTTCTTCGTCCTGATTGGTCGTCGAACACCTTCAAGGATCTGTTTTACTCTAGAGGTATATATATATATATA